CCAGATCATATTAACTAAAAGACAGTGGGAGAGAGGTGATTCCTCAGCTAGCCAGGCCCTAAATCCAGTTTTGTAGATTAATATACATATACAGTCATGTAAAAAGAAAGTACACCCTCTTTTTGAGTTCTATCAGGACTTAGTAAAAAAAAAATCATCCTGTCCTTAGCAGTTCTTAAAAGTAGGTAAATACAACCTCAGATGAACAATAACACATAACATATCACACCGTTTCGTCATTAATTTGCAAAAAGAAAGCCAAAATGGGAAAACCATGTGTGGAAAACTGAGTACACTCTTATAGCTTCCATTAGTATGAAGAGACTAAGTAGCAGGCAGGTGCTGCTAATCAAGTGCCCTTGATCAGTTGGTCATCAGTAAGTGTGACTATCTCTATAAAAGCTGAAGTTTTAGGAGTTTGCTGGTCTCCAGCATTGAGATGTGTGTTAACACAATGCCAAAGAGGAAAGACATCAACAATGAGTTTAAAGAAGAAACTGTTGCTTCCCGTCAATTTGGGAACGGTTATAAGGCCATTTCCAAACAATTTAAAGTCCATCATTCTACAGCAGGGTGTCAAACTGGCAGCCCAAGGCCTGATGTGTCACGTGCAGGCCATGCCCACCCCGGCTCCACAAAGGCAAAAAACATCGCGATGTGTCACAATACATCATGTGATGCGATTGAGTTTGACACCCGTATTCTAAAGTGAGAAAGATTGTTCACATTAAAGAGAGTTGCCAGTCTTCCCAGCAGTGGACTTCCCAGCAAATTCACACCAGGGTCAGATCATGCAATGCTCAGAGAAATTGCAAAAATTTCAAGAATTACATCTCAGACTCTAGGCCTCAGTTAACATGCTAAATGTTAAAGTTCCTGACAGTACAGTTAGAAAAAGACTGAACAAGTATGGTTTGTTTGGAAGGGTGGCCAGGAGAAAGCCTCTGCTCTCTAAAAAGAACATGGCAGCACATATTAGATTTGCAAAGTTGTATCTGAACCAGAAGATGGTAGAGGACAGGAAGACCTGGAGGAACGTTGTCCATGGGGTCGCGATGGGTCGGACACGACTTCGCAATTAACAACAACAAATCTGAACAAATCAGAAGACTTCTGGAACACTGTCCTTGGACAGATGAGACCAAAATGGAGATGTTTGTCCTTAATGCACAGTGCCACATTTGGTGAAAACCAAACACAGCACAGCACTAACATCTCATCCCAGCTGTCAAGCACAGTGGTGGAGGGGTGATGATTTGGGCTTGTTTTGCAGGCTCAGGACCTGGATAGCTTGCAGTCATTGCAGTCAACCATGAACTCCTCTACATACCAAAGTATTCTATAGTCAAATGTGAAGCTATCTGTCTGACAACTAAAGCTTGGCTGACATTGGGTCATGCAACAGAACAATAATCCCAAGCAAATCTAAAACAGAATGGCTGAAAAAGAAAAGAATCAATGTGTTGCAATGGCCCAATCAAAGTCCAGAGCTCAACCCAATTGAAATGCTGTGGTGGGACCTCAAGAGAGCTGTGCATAAACAAATGTCCACAAACCTCAATAAACTGAAGCAATGTTGTAAAGAACAGTGGGACAAAATTCCTCCACAGCAATGATAAAGAGACTGATAAAGTCATGCATAAAATGATTACTTAAAGTTATTGCTGCTAAAGATAGTTCTACAAGTTATTGTAGAAGGTGTACTTAGTTTTTCACATATGGCTTCTCCATTTTGGCTTTCTATTTGTAAAATAAATAATGAAATGGTGTAATGTGTCATGTGTTGTTGTTCATCTGAGGTTGTATTTACCTACTCTTAAGAACTGCTAAGGACCAGATGATTTTTACTATGTCCTGATACATAAAATCAGAAAACTCAAAGAGGGTTTACTTTCTTTTTTTACATGACTGTATATGCACAATCCTTTTTCTTCTCAACCTTTTGTTTGCCTGGGTTTATAAGAAAAGGCAGGTTTGACTTCAAGTTACGTAGCTGACTTGGATATATCAGTATCTCATCACATTAAGGTAGCTATAATAAGTACATTAAGGTGGCTGTAATAAGTACATTAAGGTGGTTGTAATAAGTACATTAAGGTGGCTATAATAAGCTTTCTATTTAAGTCTACAATACTGTATTAGATCATCACTGACCAATAACAAATGTTACATACTTGTATGTCTCCTCAGGAGTTTTGAAATGTCTTAGCTCTGGACAATCTTGAATGAAACAGGTTCAGCATCAGATTTCAATAGCACAGGTAGACCTCAACCTACGACCACAATTGAGCCCAAAATTTCTGTTGTTAAGTGAGACTTTTGTTAAGTGAGTTTTGCCCAATTTTACGACCTTTATTGCCACAGTTGTTAAGTGAATCGCTGCAGTTAAGTTAATAATACGGTTAAGTGAAGCACTGAGGTTGATAAATTAGTAACCTAGGTTGTTAAATGAATCTGGCTTTCCCATTGACCTGCTTGTCAGAAGGTTGCAAAAGGTGGATCACATGATTTTATTTTTATTTATTTATTTATATTTGAATTTATATCCCGCCCTTCTCCCGTAGGACTCAGGGCGGCTGACAATCTATTTAAAATACATACAAAACAATACAAATTTAAAATTAATTAAAAAGAATATTAAATATTTGTCGAATTTAAAATATAATTAAAACCCCCCTAAAAATTACCCTAGGCCAGTCCTGCAAG